GATAAATAATATGTATAATGAAATATCAGCTTAATGGGAGGTACTGCATTCGACATTATCTCAAAATAGCAAAACAAACATACATTTAAAGGTCTCTGATGATTCTTTTATCTCATATAAGGAAACACATTTTCTTGTTAAAGAATGACAAAGAATGACTGCATTCGGCAGAGAAAGCAGTTTTGCAGCTATTGTAAAATTCTTCGATACGATGTATATTTAGATCCATAAGGAATCAAAAGTAAGAACCAATCGTATTGAAAAATTTTACAACAATTGCAAAGTTGCTTTGCTGAATGAAGCTACCTAGCAAACAAGAATGGATTGAAATGAATTGAAATGTTTTCAAATTTTTAGAAATTGATTCACGAATGTTAAAATGAATAATTTTCAGTCTTGAATGAATTTTTATTCATTTATAGGAATTGCATGGAGCATATTTCTATGTCTTTCAATCTAAAAATAATATTAGCTTTTTCTGTGCACAACACACATTGTGAAATACTGTTCAATTCAAAATTTTGAATAGGAAATGCAGTTTTTCAATCCAATTGTATCCAATTGAATTTAATTGAATCCAATTGAATTCAATTAAATCCAAAAAAAGTATTCGCTATTTAAAATACTCGTTCGGATAGAAAAAAATTTCAATCCATTTTAATCAATTCTCGTTTGCTGGATAATGTCATTTGAGCTTGTTACAAATGTTTCAAAGTATTTTTTAATTGATCAATTAGTAAAATTCTTTCTTTCGATTGGTCAAACAAACGCTGGGAAATTTTATAGCAAGTAGACCGCTTTCTATGGATACGCAGTATGGACACTCCGTATTTCGGAGCCACTGTCACTGGCCGCTGGGATCCACCTTCGATCAGCTGATATTTCCGCACATTTGTTTTTCAGCTGACTCGTCCCCGGAAATCGGTGATTCGTGCAGGGTTAAAGGGGGGATGGAACTTCGAACAACGGGATTTATCGTTGTTGGACTATACGAATTGTCGGCATCGTTCACTTGACGGTCGGTGCTTGACGCACAAACAGTATAGTACAACAGCAGTCTGAAGAAATTTATCTAATACGCTCGAACGAGCGTTGTTCTTCATCCTCATAATCAACAGAACGGCGTCACAAATTATATTCCTCTTCGTTGTATGCAACATGACTGTCCGGTATACTGTTAGTGGTTTTCCGAGCATAAATTGAGCCACATCTAATCGAGCATAATCACAATGGATAGCGTGATAGTGAGTAGACTAACCTCGTGGACCATGCGCGTTCCTATATTTTCATCCACCGTGATCTTTGTTGCACGGATAATCGGTATCTCTCTTAATAGATATCTCCTCTGTCATCATAAACAAATTAAAAATTTCTTTCTTCTTGATAATAGAAATAATTTTGTAAAATCGTAACAATATATTTAGATAAGTATTTTTTTAGTAGAAGTTATTTGATTGTTAGCTTTTTATTCAACTTTCACTGAGATTGGTAACTGAATTTTGAGTTAAAATTTTTTTTAACCAAAGTCTACTCAAAATTGATTATACAACAAAATTTTTTGTTTGGTTTTAATTGCTTGTTATTTTGTTATTTTCTAATTATGAAAATATGTGGCATTAAAAAGTAAAATTGTATTAATCATAATTTTGTAAAATTGTATTAATCATAATATTTAATAAAATCATTATTAGAAATTAATTCAAGATTATGATATTTCTAAATGCATTTAAGATAATAAATATATTTTAACTCTTGTTATTATATGTAATTAAATTAATTTTTTATTTTTCAGGGAATAATTTATGCAATATGTCGAGGATTTGTAGACAGCTTGAAAGGTACCATTGTACTTTTCTATATGGATAAACAAATTAATGAGAAATTAGTTGAGAAAACTTCCAACCGAGCAGAACTTAGGAAGAAAGATGTAGTTATGTCGAGTCCCTCCAAGCATAAACAACGGTATCCTTATTATTTATAAGGAATATTTATGAGAGACAATTAATAACAAAATTTATTAGTCTATTCAATTTTAGGGAATCTAAGGTATTAAGAAGAACTCTACAATGTTGTGCATTGAATGGTGGAGTGTTTTGGGCTAGTATACTGATATTCGATTTTGGACTTCTGCCATTTGTTAAGTACTTATTGACTGTTATATTCGGCCACTCTCCTGGTATGGGTCTTACCGTATGGTCATGGATCCAGCCGTTTTTGTCTCTCACATTTGGTACAATATGGGTGCTACCACTGTTCTTACTCAGCAGAATAGTTAACAGTTTGTGGTTTCAGGTATAGTTTTTTATAAAATATAAAAAATGGTTTATTAAAACACTGAAAATTATATTGGTCTGCGATAAAAAATTGTTTTAACAATTGTAGCTATTTTTTAAATATATTTTTATTTGCTGAACATGAATTTATTTTTTAAATTTGGCAAATTTTTTTCAAAATTGTGACTAAATTTAGAAAACGGATTCGTGTTTAGCATCTAAAAAAAACCTATGAGAAATGATTGCGTTCGTTGATTCGTTCTGTCAACTCTAAAATGTGAATTCGCAGACTAATGTTATTACATCTATATAACATAATACTAACACAGTGTATTTGCAAATATATATATAGGACATAGCCGATAGTGCTTACAGATATAGACAAGGGAGACCATTGCTTTTGTCAAGTGTAAGCAAGTTGATAGCTGACACGCTTTTTAGCGTATTAGTTCAAGCATTATTCTTGGGACAAGGAATGTTGGTGTCTAAAGTTCCACTTCCGCCATTAGGAGACATTCTTGCCCTTGTCCACATGTGCCTTTTATATGCTCTCTATGCCTTCGAATATAAGTGGTTCAACATGGGTTGGGAATTGCATAGACGATTGACTTTTATTGAAGGCAATTGGCCATACTTTTTAGGCTTTGGTATGCCATTAGCAGTACTTACCCAAATGCCCAACTCGTACTTTGTAAGGTACAAAATAATTCCTATAATTGTTATCTTCTAAGTAACGATATCTTTAATGTTTAAAGATAGATATCTATTTTTATTTAGCCAATTAAAAATCTCTTAGTAATTAAACAAAAAGGTTAATATTAAAACTTCAATTAATGATTTTTGTTTAATTTTTTATCATTAATACAAAAATGACGAATACAATTTATATTCATCATGATATAATTGAAACTGCGATAATTTTATAAAATCTATGAATTTATAAATAATTTTTTATTTTTTCAGTGGCTGTGTTTTTTCCATTTTATTTCCACTATTTATTGTAAGTGGAAACGAAGCAGAACCTGTAACTGGAGTATGGTATATTTCTTTTATATTATAAAATATATATTTTATTTTATATTGCTTATGATATTTAATTATGATTTAAATAATTGTTTCAGTGATTGCCAGTTGAAATTATTTTCTCCGGTAATTGCAATTGCAAATACATTATTTAACAAAACTATCGGACGGGTCAATAAGCGGTGATAGTAAAAACAAAACGGAAGAATAAATGCCTAATTTATATTATTTGCATATTAGGATATACATACCATTTACCAATTTGTTACAGAAAAGCTCATACATTAGTAATAATTATATAAAATAATTATAAAAATATTTGGCTATTGTTTGTTCTTGCAGGAAATAGTATTAATTTTATTATTTAGACAGATTACAGTGTTCAGGAAGAATGCAAGAGGAGTAAATTAATTTTTTTTATTAAATAAGATTATACAGTTAAATTGTAAATTTTTTATTTTTCTTTTTCTACTGATCTTTATGAAATATGAAAAGAATATTTAATCATTTTTTAATTGAAATGTAAGACCAATCAGTACAAATATTTATTTATGCATATGTAATAATGCATATATAGCTTAATTCGTACATACGATTTCCTGTATTTAATAATATCACCGATATATAAACGATATTACAAATCTGATTATATTTCTCAATTTTCATGAGAATTCATATTTCGAGCTTTTTATGCTGTAACTAGTCATTTTTCAATATCAATTTGAGATCTCCCATCGGCGCTGTGCTGTAAACTTATATTATAAGCATATGCTGTAAAAATGATGCATTATGTATGACAGTTGATATAAAAATTTAGTGATGATATAATCTTTATATAGAGTAGTTGAAATATTATTCCAACATTAAGATAATTAATAATACAGTGCTACCATATATAACTTTTATATTTTAGGAGTGTTGTATTTGAAAAAAATTTTTTTAATTTAAGGGTACATTATAGATAAGCGCCAATAGAAATATCTCGATTCTCAATCAATCTGTTGATTCTAATTATATATATATATTGTGCCATACATATCAATTATATGGAGGATTCGTCCAAAAAATTCATGTAGTAAAAACGAATGAAAAATATCATAATTATATGATAAATATTGCTATATGTAAGAATATTTCAATTTTGTATATGGTTAAGAAGGTGCACAAATGATTACATATTTGTCATATATTGATCATTTTATACATTACAATTTAAATAAATATAATAAAATTATTGAAAAGTAGTAGTTTACAATAACTGTTGCAGTAAGTAGCCTAGTTATTTAAACAAAAATGCAAGAACTGTTAGATGATTCCATCAGAGTCAAAGAAAACTAATAAATTATAATATAATAATTAATAAATCTTTGACTTAAAGATATTTTATTAGAGTTCTAATCGATTCCAATCGAGGATGCGTTATTCGCGTATCGAATTAAGACTGCATCAACAAATTATCCAGTACGAGAAAAAAGTTATTCAAATTATTCAACATTATTTATTTAAATATTTACAAAAGTTTAGTTAATTTGCAAATAATTTTTGCATTTAGAATATTTATGCATTAATCTATGAAATGTTTGCAAGTTCGTAAATTTTTAATAATTTTATTCAGCGTTTGTAATTATTTTTGTAATATTTTCATCTTTATTTCAATTCGTTGAAAAATGTAAGGATCATTTTAGGATTAATACAAATAGATTGTTTATATTCTATATATCTTTACTTATCACGACTTGCCAAAAGTTTCACCTTATAACATTTTAACGTTTTTCTATGACATCAATATATTGCGGCGAAAAAAATTGTAATCAAAATATTAATTTTTATGGATGCCTTGTTAACTTTTTATTTTAATACAAATTGTTTGTTACTTTATATTATACTAATAATTATGCGAGGAGATCTTGAAGTGCTAATAGATCGTGATCTGAAGGTTCTTCTTTCACTCTATAAGAATTCAAAGCATAATGCCTGTGTAATGCCGCAAAGCCTAATCCTGGATCAGTTTCTGTTTCTGTTACTGGACTTGCAGCTCGATCAACATGCAGATGTATATGATTTTTGCTTACCTATAAAATATAATTTTTAAATAAACTGTTTTAAACTTAGAATTTTGCAAAATATATTATCCTAGGTTCAAAATATTTCTTATCAACTGCAAAGTTTTTCTTAAATTTGAAGTGAGTGTATTACTTAAGAGAGAAATTGATAAAAATATTTTAGATTTAATTATTTGTAATCCTTTATGATTAAAAATAAATATAATAATTTTTAAATGTTATGTACATACTTCAAAACGTTGTTGTTTATACATTGCCAATTTACGTGTTCCTGGAGAACTTTGGATTAGGTTTTGTATAGTAGGATGAGAAATTCCAAAAAAATCTGCACCCTTTGGCACTATCGTACAAAGCACTGGAGAAATTGCTGCCAATAATTTTAAGTGACATTCGTCAGGACTGGATCCAACTAATGGTTGATCCAGATCATTATCAGATACTATTTCAAATCTATAAAGTCACATCATATGTATGCCTGTATAATTTCTATTAAAAATAATTATTTTTAGATGTATAGATAATTTCATATACCTAGGTTTTGGACCACCATCTAATATCTTGCAGGTATATAAACTCTTTGTTCTTGGATCTCTCAAATTTGCGTATACTCTTGTACTGCAATAACCTACTGGAAATATAAGTTCTTCTGTGTGATATGCGATTCTGTCTGATACCACATCACCAAGAGAATATATTGTAAGATCTCCCAAGGCTATAGGAAATAATGGTCTTCCATGTACATCCAATGGAATCAATTGTACCAATCTTCTAGCAGTTTTGTTATACCTTTTTGTCTTATTTTTCGATTCTGTGATAAATTCAAATTATAATTCTTATGTAAGACTTATACTCACTGCATTACAAATAATCCTTATTATATAGATGTTTAATACGTAGTGCTAACATTAACATTGACTTATCAGACTTTGTAAAGTTAAGGTATTAATTTTATAGCTAATAGCTATAGAGAGATACCTGATCCATCCGTGGATGCTCTCTTCTTTATTGTTTTTTTGGGCGTAGTACATTCTGGATTAAGTGATGGTGAATTCGCATTACTTGTTTGTGAACGAGCTAAACTTGTCGAGTTAGATTCCATCTCTCCCTGTTGTTGGCATAATTTACGTAGAAGAAACAGCCTCTCCTCTTTAACCAACATCAAATTTTCTTGCATATGTGCAACTTGATCACATAGTGCTGCGTTTTCCTATATTGGAATTAGGATTACAATCCTAATTTATTAAGTATACTTATACACTTATACATTCAATTAGTTATCACATCTGCATATATGTCAAAATTACATGTATTAAAACTCACAAATACAGTATTTTTCACGATCCTCTTAAGTTTTCGGTATTTTTTCTTGTACTTTAAATTTTGCTGTAGTTCAGCATTTTTATGATAATCATTGTAATAACTATCATAAGCTTGGGCCATATTATGTTTATTAATTGTTAATAAAATACTGTGCTCATAAAGATTTTATTAAAAAGATATTATGTTGTATTGCTTTATACATTGTAAAGAATCGTCTACAATGGTTACAGAGTGATTAGAACGAAATTACCATTTATCCCTACCAAAATTATACAAAAATCCCTACAATTCCCTAAGTAAAAGAAGCAAGGGAGAACTGGCGCGAAATTTAAAAGTAAGTGAAATCACCAACGAGATACTATTAAAGACGATCAGCGAAAGTTGCGTGACTGTTAAAATTTAAGTGATTAAGAATA